TCAATACTCTTTCAGGTTTTGAGGTAGAATCCATACGTTAGCTGGGTTTTTCTGCTGTTTCAGAGGGAGAATTAAATGCCAGGAAGGTGTGTCCTCATTTTCTGAGGTTCTTTTGTGGATCTTCCCTGAATGCTCAAATATCCAAACATGATTGAGTTAATCTGCATGACAAGAGCACCATGGGCTATTGTCCCTAAATAAGAGAAGTAAAAATGACGTGAATGTGACCATATTGATTCTGATTTCCGTGAACATAATCATCAAAGCAATAGCACAGGCAAAGTTCCTTTAAGTCCTGCCTATAGCTCACCAAAGCAAAACAAGAAGAACGATTTGCACAAGTACAGCCTTGTTTTGACATAGCTGGGTTAGAATTCTGGGAGTGGGCATCTATGGGCTTAGAGAGACTAAAAGTGATCTTGGATACTGTAGGTAATCCATTCCTTGGAACACCTAACCTGTAATAGGGGAATATAGGAAAAGGAGTGTCCCAGTTATTGAGGTAACCGTGATGTTTCCTAATCAGTTAACTGCCACTGGTCCAAAGCGGAAACCATCTCCACATGCCACGATATTTTGAATTTAATTTATATATTTTAAAAATAAATATATCACTCACAATTCAGGTGTGCTTGAATATTTTCAGCTGAAATTTCTCAAGAAAAATGATTTTAAAGTTGATCAGGGCTGCCACTTAGGGGAATATATATATGCGTGTGGTGTGTGGGGAAGGTCCCCCGCTTGCATCTATAGATGCTTATGGCATACAATGGGTTAAGTCGTTTATAAGTCTCAACCTTTCTGTGTTCCCAACAGATAAGAGCCCAAATGAAAAAAGAAAAATATTCGTTAATTCAGTATCTGAAGACACAATAATTTGCTGGATGATGTCCTAAGAGAAAAGGTGCTAAACCAAGAGGAGATCAAAAAAGGAAAATGGTACAACTGTAAACAAAGCCTGTGACTTGACTGACTTGGCGATTCCCAAAGAGTCCCACACCAGCCAATTACTGAAATGCTATATCTGCAAGAGAGATTCCACTCTTGCTTCCAAGTTGGGATCTTCTTCAGGTAAGATTCCTCAATTTTGTTTAAAAGGTGCCTCAACTTGCCCTTGCAGCTTGGCACTTACGAGTTGCTTTTTTATTCACTTGTCAAGTAATGGATGACTCATCAACTCTTTACTTAATAGCTCCTCACCTTAGGGCTTAGGCTCTCATTCATTTTCCACAGAAGAGGCTGACCTGCTCCCTCTGTTCTCCTTGGCTTTGTCCCTGCAAAATCCCCCCCCCCCCCCCGCCACTTCTTTGCTTCATGTCTAGACCATATCTTACTCTTAGTCTGAAATAGTCTTCTATTATAGCTTAGTAATTTAGTTCTACAGAAATAATTTTTAAAACTTTATTCTAATCTTTCTACTTAAATAAAAGACAAAAACCTTTATGTTGGTCATTGACAGTAGGTCCTTGTAGTTGAAGAAAGCTCTTGGGAAAAAAAATTAAAAGCAGTTTTCTCCTCCTTTTTTTTTTACCTACTTGATTTACACATGTTTTAAAGCCATTTCTCTGGCCACTTGCCCTTCCCTTCACTTAAAATATATTACTCTTTTTTATTTTTCAATAATGATAGAACAAAGATGTCATCTCTTCTACAAAAGCAAAGGGTCATTGTTTTCTTTACTCTCTCTTTTTTTTAAGCTAGATAGCTTAGAAATATTTCTCATGTCTTCACTGTGCCAAATCCAAATGTTTTGCTTTAGGAAAGAAGAATTAACACCAGTCTGTTTCAAACTCTGAAAAAAATGAAGAGAAAGAAACAGTTCCTAACATATTTTATAAGGCCAGAATTACCCTGATACTAAAACTAGATAAAGACATCACAAGAAAAAAAATTACATGGTACTATCCTTTATGAATAAAAATGTAAAAATTCTCAACAAAGTAATATTGAATGGAATTAAAAGTATATTCACCCTGACCAAGAAGAAGTTTTCCCAATAATGTAAGGGTGTTTCAACATAAGAAATATTTCCCAGATGGTGTTGCTCAGTGGTTGAGCATTGACCTATGAACCAGGATGTTATGGTGCGATCCCTAGTCAGGGTACATGCCTGGGTTATGGGCTTGATCCCCAGCAAGGAGCTTGCAGGAAGCAGCTGATCAATGATTATCTCATCATTGATGTTTCTATCTCTCTCTCCTTCTCCTTTCCTCTCCAAAATCAATAAAAAAATATTTTTTTAAAAATAAATTAATCAGTGTAATACATCATATAATAGAATGAAGGGGGAATAAAACATGACAATGTCAACTGATGCATAAAATTCCATATGACAAAATCCAATATTCTTTCAGAAAACTAGAAATAAAGAAAAATTTTTCTCAGCATGATAAAGGGTACTTATGAAAAACACTAATATCATACTCCTTGGTAAAAGCCTGAAATCTTTCCTGCCAAAATCAGGAAAAATGCAAGGGTAACTGTTTTCACTGATGCTATTTAACATTGTAATAGAAGTTCTAAACAGAGCTATTAAATAAGGAAGATAAATTAAAAATATCCAAATTGTAAATGAAGAGGTAAAATGATCTCCATTCACAGATGACATATTCTACATAGAGAAACTCCCAAAGACTTCACAAGAAATCTCTTAGCGCTAATCAACAAATTCAGCAAATTTGCAGGATACGAGATCAACACACACAAACATTAGTGTTGTTTCTATACACCGGCAATCAATACCTGAAAAGAAAATTGGAAAAGCAATTTCATCTACAATAGCACCAAAAATAATTATATGCTTAGAAATAAATCTAACAAAGGAGGTGAAAGACTTGTACACTGAAAACTATAAAATATTTTATAAAAGAAATTAAGAAAGATATAAATAAGTGAAAATAGAACCCATTTTCATAACAATATTTTTAAGATGTTGATACTACACAAAGTGGTCTACAGATGCAACATAACACTTATCAAAATTCCAACACCTTAACTTTTTTAGAACTAGAAAAGCCAATCATCAAATTATATGGAATTGAAAGGAGGCCCAAATAGCCAAAGCTATTTTACAAAAGAATAAAGTTGGAGGGCTGATTCTTCTCAAATTTGAAATGTACTATAAAGCTACAGTAATTAAACAATATTGTATAAGGACAAACATATGGATCAATGGAATGTGATAGAGCATCCAGAAATAAACTTCATACATACAGTTCATTGATTTTTGACAAGGTTGCCAAGATTATTGAAAAGAGAGAGTATAGTCTTTCGACAAATAGTACTGGAAACTGGATATAAACATGCAAAAGGAAAATTTTGGACCCTTACCTTACACCACATGTACAATTAACTCAAAATGAATCAAAGGTATACACTTAAGAGCTAACATAATAAAACTGTTAATAGAAAACATTGGAGAAAATCTTCATGACATCAGATTTGGAAACAACTCATGGAATTTCACTCCCAAAAAATAGTCAATAAAAGAAAAAAGTAGCCTTAACCAGTTTGGCTCAGTGGATAGAGCGTCGGCCTGTGGACTGAAGGGTCCCAAGTTCGATTCCGGTCAAGGGCATGTACTTTGGTTGTGGGCACATCCCCAGTAGGGGGTGTGCAGGAGGCAGCTGATCGATGTTTCTCTCTCATCGATGTTTCTAACTCTCCCTCTCCCTTCCTTGCTGTAAAAATCAATAAAATATGATTTAAAAAAAGTCTCCCTTCCTTGCTGTAAAAATCAATAAAATATGATTAAAAAAAAAAAAGTAGATAAAATGGATTTTATCAAAAAACAAAACAAAGAAAACAAACACCAAACTTTTGTGCTTTAAAGAATACAATCAATAAAGTAAAAATATAATATATTGAATGGAGCACAATGATTATCTTATATCTGATAATGGACTAATATTCAGAATAGATAAAACACTTCTAAAACTCAACAACAACAACACAAATACAAACAACCCAATTCAAAAGTACGCTAAGGATTTGAATAGTCCTTCCTCCAAAGAGGAGATACAAATGGCTGAAAAGGACATGAAAAGATGTTCAGCTATTAGCGGAGTTCAAGTCAAAAGAACAATGAGATAACACTGCACACCTATTAGGTTGGCTACTAGGAATATACACGCACACACACACACACACACATGCACACACACACACATAATCACCGCTATTGGTAAGGATGTGGTGAAATTAGAACCCTAATTTCTGCATTGCTGGTAGAGATGTAAAATGGTAGTCAGTGTTGAAAACAGTTTGGCAGTTCTCAAAATGTTATACTACTGTACAACCCATCAATATATATTCCTAGTTATATATCCAAAATAATTGAAAGCAGGGATTTGAACAGATATGTGTACACCATTGTTCACAGCAGCACTAATCACAATAGCTAAAAGGTGGATACAACCCACTGTCCATCAACAAATGAATGGATAAAAGATATATCACTCAGCTGTAAAAAGGAATGACATTTTGATATATGAATGGGCCTTAGAAACATTATGTTTACTGAAATAAGTTAGACATAGAAGGAAAACTATTATATAATTTTGCTTTCTGATATAACTAGAATTTACAAATTCCTAGAAAAAAAAATAGAAAAAAGCTTACCTAGATATGGGGATAAGGGGAAGTTATTGTTTAATGGGTATAGAGATGTTGGGGATGATGAAAAAGGTTAGATATGGTGATGTTTATAGAATAATGTGAATATATTTAATGCAACTCAATTGTACTTATGAATGGTTAAAATAATAATTACTGTATTATGCGTATTGTGAAATATTTGGCAGACATATTCTAGTAACTATGACATTAACAGCAATAACAGCAAAATAACAATAACAATGGCCACTTCTGAGAACCTTCCATAAATTGGTCGCTGGAAAGTGCAAGGCATTCGCCACTTATTCTTTCTATTCCACAAACCTTCAGTGGTAGAAAGGGCAGGTATTATGAGCTGATGTTTAAAGGTTTACTCTCCTCAGGCCATGGAGTTAGTGCTAAAGAGATTTGCCACTCGCCCAGAGCACAGGACCTCATATAGTACATACTTGCTGTTCATGTCTCATGGCCTCTGGGATACAATCTGTGGGACTCAGCATAGCGATGAAAACCCAGATGTGCAGCCTTATGACACCATATTCCAGATTTTCAACAATCGCAACTGCTGCCATCTAAAGGACAAGCCCAAGGTCACCATCGTCCAGGCCTGCAGAGGTGCTGAGTTCTGATGGGGTAGAGAGGTCAGGGAGGTGTGTATCATGCACGGTTTGCCTGGGTGTTTTATATCTAGTGAAAATAACACTGAACCCACCTTACTTGCAATTATACCTAATATACTTCTTTGGGAAGAATACCTAGTGACAACAACAGAGAAATTGATATACAAATAAATATAAATGCTATTCATTCTCAGTGGACCATAGCAAGTGATGATGATATTAATGCTAACTCTAAATTAACTTTATGTGGAACTATTAAAATTGTAACATATAAATGACTTCAATTTCAACATTTATGAATCAAAAATTTATTAGCTCTGGCTGGATGAAAGAAGGTGAAGTGATTAAGAAAAAAATAAAAATATTATATAACACATAGATACAGACAATAGTGTGGTGATGGGCAGAGGGAAAGGGGGTGGGGGTAGGTGGAGGTGGGCAAAGAGACTTTGCTTGGGGCAATGGGAGCACAATGCAATGTGCTAATGACGTTTTGTTGAGTTGTACACTTGAAACCTGCATGGTTTTGTGAACCAATGTTACCACAATAAACTCAATTAAAAGTGAATTTTACTGTATGTAAATTATACCTCAATCAACAAAAACAACAACAAATAATTATGACATTTTTCTTATATTTTAATTCAAACTTTAATATATTTATATCACTTTAATATATTTATATCACTTGGGGAATGGCTTAGAAGGGATAAGTAGCAATGGGAAAGGAAAGGAAAAAATTGTTTTAGAATCCTATGCCTGTTATTGAATTAAGCAGATATTTCCTTCCTTGACATTGCAATGTTATTTTACTGTCATTAAACCAAAAACTGGTTACTTAGGAATGGTCAATAGTGTTTTATAGCACCATTACGCTCCCTGATCGATGGGTACATTTCAGGTCTAGATGGTAGTTGCTATTTATTGACATCCTGTTAAATGGGAGTAGAGATAATGTTGTGTTAGGCCTTTACTGTGTGTGTGTGTGTGTGTGTGTGTGTGTGTGTGTGTGTGTGTGTGTGTGCAATTAATTAGAACACCTTCATTAAGGGCATCCTATTTATTTAGTTGTCAAAGGATTGCTAGCAGGGGCTTAGCAGTGAGGAATATAACAGGTGGTGTCCCCTCAGCAAACCCTGGGGAGGTATGGGTCAGTGACTCTCCAGTGGCCTCAGCAGACAGCTCTGCAGAGTCTCCAGAGGACTTGAAGGATGATGGTGTCCACAAGACCCATGTGGAGAAGGATTTCGTTGGTTTCTGCTCCTCAACACCACGTATGTGTCTTTCATTTGTAGGCAAAGTTTTGTAGGGATGAGGACTGCCTGCCATCATAATTTGGCTCAGTATTCCAGGTAAGAACACAGGCTAAAAGTCTTTGGGGGGAATTTATAAAGAAAAGAAGAACCCATCGAAGTTTCTGAAGCCTTCTTTCATAGCTTCCTATGGCTGTCCAGTCTCCCTCAGATTCTACATCCACCCAGATGCTAGTATTGCATATCCTATAAGTGATCAGTCAGTAGGCACACAACAATATTGATGTAGTGAGTCTATTGTGCAAAATAGCATTGTTTTCACTGCTGAAGAAAGTATTAGAAGAAAAAGAGGGTGTGCACTCCTTTGCAGAAAGCATATTTTCTAGTTTGGAAAACAAGAAATCGAGCTATAAAATGCTGTTAAAAGATCATTAAAATATTAGCAGCACATGGTAAAGTGATATTGCAATGTGGGGTAGTAATGAGGTTTAAAGAATTAATTCTCTGTAAAATTTGGAGATTAAACCCTTATCTGAAATATCATTGGCAAATATGTTCTCCCATTCAGTGGGCTTTCTTGTTTTGTTGATGGTTTCTTTTGCTGTGCAGAACCTTTTTATTTTGGTGTAGTCCCATTTGTTTATTTTCTCCTTAGTCTCCATTGCCTTAGGAGCTGTGTCTGTAAAGATATTGCTACAAGCTGAACTGGTTTGGCTCAGTGGATAGTGTTGGCCTGCGGACTGAACGGTCCCAGGTTCGATTCCCGTCAAGGACATGTACCTTGGTTGCGGGCACATCCCCAGTGGGGGGCATGCAGAAGGCAGCTGGTCGATCT